AATCGTAGGGGATTTATTAGGTAAACTTCGAAATATGTACATTAACAGTCATCTAGAAATTTTTAGTCGTCTTCAAGCTATAGAAAAGTCCAGACAGTTTTTGCTTTTCCAAACAGATACACAGAAAACAGTCGTTGGGTGCCCAACGACAAGACAAGACAAGAAAGACAAGACTAAAGAGAATTGACGACAACGCGGTTACCGAAAGCTAGTACCTTAGTAATCTTCTTTCTTTTATAAGGTCCAATAACTGTTGTAAAGATAATAAATTAAAAATCTGTTTCAATTTTTTTATTGTATATTCCGACTAGCATAGACAGGTTTTGTTCATGTTTAGCTGACTTCACTCTTACGGACAACAGTGTTTGTGTACAGTCAACTACCCTCTAGACGGACACCTACCTACAAACAGTATCAAAAATTACGTCTCTTGTCTTTGATAACAGCTACCTTCGTGTTGATGACATCTGCCTCAGTGTTATCATCAGATCATAAAAACAGCAAGTCAAGTGGTGTTTTGGGTGTAGCAGTGAGTTCAAATGTGGCAGGCCACAAAACAGCCGCAGTACCTTCACCGTCTTCTCTGTCGATGTCATCCTCAAAAGTTTTTCATTCAAGTGCCTTGGCCATAAGTAGTTCGTCATTTGCGGTACTGAGCGCTAAAATGGCAAAAAAGCTAAGTACACCCGCATTGCCGTTGGCGTTGTCTAAGCTGGTGACATCTACAGCTGTTGCGTCAACATCAGACGTTCCTTCAAGCGCTCTATCCAGAAGTGACTCACCATCTGCAATGAGTGCGAGTCTGATTACAGAACAAGGTACGTCCGATTCGCCCTCAGTGTGTATTACTTGCTAGTGTCATTGTTTTATTTTTCTCCAAGCAGCTTACCACGAGGCCATTTGGCATTTGTCGTAGTGAGCACTAGTCTGTTTATAGATAAAATAAAAGCACCTTCAGGGTCTTTTATGCTGCTTGCATCTTCAACAATGGTGTCACCGACAACAATCATGTACGTTATTTTCAGAATCTCATCGTGATAAAACGAACATTATATTACTATAACTGTCGAACCTCTATGTGCGACCGCCTCTCGTAAGTGACCATCTCCACCTCCTCTTGAGTAATCACGTATAAAAACCACCAAATTTTGCCCAGTTAAAGCCCTATAAATAGAAAGTCTTGTAAACGTCCACCTCTCATAAGCGACCGCTCTAAGGGTGACAGAAGGGAATCAGGTGTCCGACTGTCCGCCCTTTGGTAAGAGGAGTATGTTATATTTTCCTGGCAGGAAATCGTGCGATGCATTTGTGCAACCCGCGTTTTTTCTTTTCGGCAAATCGCGCAAGAAATGGTGTGACCCAGTGTCGTCGCGTTCTAAAACGTGTTTTGTTACGGCACAAACAATAGCGGATTAAATTCAACGTATTTGCTTATAAGTAAAGAGCGACAGGAAAGGCAAAGAAGAGAAAGGCCAAAAGCGAGAATTAACAGTCGAAGAGCTAGCGAAGAGGATCGCCGAAGAGAAGTGTCTATGCTGCATCTGGAGACTTGTTAACCGATAGCTGAAGGCGACAGAATTTTTTATCATCTTATTATGTTTTAACTGTCTTTTTGCACCGGATCTACTCAGATACAGCTGCTATCAAGAGTCGTTTGCTATTTTTGGCTGGCGTGTTTACTGGGTTTTTGATTGAGAAATGCGCTGCTTGATAAAAAGTAAGCTTTCAAAAATAAGTTTCCCGTAGTACTTTGCCTTGCTGGATGCTTGAGAGGGTCGAAAAATCTTCAGCGATTCTGGCCTTACTGGATGGCCATCACGAGCTGCATCTCGACCGGTAAGCTTGAGTAATTACAGTATTGCATTTGATGTTTTTTTTTTTTTTCTGGTTTCATGTTCATGAAGTCGATCATAGTTTATGACGTCACTTTACGCACATTAATTTTTTACTGAGATCTGACCTAGTATAGAATTTAAAAAGCCTTTAGACATTTTCTGGCCGCAACTAGAAAGAGGCCGTTCTGAAGAATATTTAGATTATTTCGACCTATAGTTTGAAGCTTTGAGAGTTATTCTCGCCTCGAGGTCATCTTGAAAAAAAGCAACTGAAACACGGCGAAAATCTGCAAGGTTTGATTGATGACTCACGATTTTCAGAGACACTCCACTGTCAACACATATCTTCGTGAATAAACTTTGTTGTCCTTTTAATTGTTTCACTGAATTATATTATTTTCAATTATTTTCTTGTCGTGATTGTTTGTCAAGATCTCTTTCTTATCGCTTTTCCGGTTGTTTTCAGTCGTCCATGACCATCGCATGTAGGAGAACTCAAACTGCCTTGTGTATCAAATAAATGTAAAGTTTAGAAGTAAAATGCACACGACAATGATTTTGAGACCTCTTCCTACTATTGTTCATTCAAAAACACAACAGCTCGCTCTGTAAGGTTGGACTTAGCTTGGCAAAATTCACAAGTGGCTATGCGGACGGGTGATTTTGGAAATTATATTAAAAATAGATGTTTTCGAATTTTTTTGTTCAAAGCCGATTATTTAATACCCTGAATAATTGTATAACAGCAGAATGACCTGACTGAACAGTCCCGTCTACTGGTGAATTCTCTCTATACTCGTAACGTTTTATGTTGTTGTCATTTTTGTAATTTGTTGTGGAAGGGAAGCGCGTGCTTCGATCGGCCTGAATAGAGAGAAGTGTAAAGTCGCGTTACCATGGTAGTACTATTTCTGGATGAAAACAAAACCAACGACGACGGCGACGGCAAGGAGATCGGCAAAAAATAATAGCGGAGCTCTCGCGCGCGAAGCGCATGCAGCGGAGCACCATGGGTAAGAAAAGTTGGTAAACCATCCATCCGAGAAAATTTGGTTATGACGTAGCGTACGAACGCCGACCGTCCGTACCACCACCACCACATGTAAGCCAATGTCAAGTGTCACATTAGATCTTGCTCAAATATTGACACTAACCCGTCAGTTATGTAAACCATCCGTATGAGGATGAATTGACAGCTGTCAAAAGCAGACATTCGCTGAAAATTATCACATGACCATCTCGCGGGCTCAGGTGAAAGACTAGCCCTTTTGTCCCTACATATGAGCTGATATAATATAAAACACTTACCAAAATATTAATGAAACTACACTTTCCCAGGGCAGGGCTGTCAGTAGTTTAAAGTCATATGCGCAAGCCAAATTAAAGTTAATTGACAGCTGTCAAAATGGGACATGTGCAGACCACTATCAGAAAACTAATAACGTGGGCTCAGGTACACGATCTGTCATTTCGCCACTACAAGCAGGACTGAAATGTCCTACTCACAATCACATATTACCTATACAAATTAAAATGCAATTATTTTTTTTTCCAAAAAGCACATGACACTCCGGTCAATAGTAATCATTAAAGGTCTGATAATAGTCTGTCATGGTCTCCTGACCCACGCTGGTCTCTAGAGGTTTTAAAATTTTAATTTCCCGAGGAGCGTGTACGTCACTTTTTCATTGGAGCTTGCCCCAGGCATACGTCCTTCAACATTGAGCGATCCGTCTCAAAATTAATCTGCAATTTACACTCAGAAGCGAGAAATGATAAATATCCCCGTCCCTTTTATACGGGAGTCCACCCCCGAAACCGTCTGCCTCTACTTCTAAACTTGCAAACTGAATTTCTTGTTACCCTGTAAAATAAAAGAGCTTTTTGCGACACTTTTGCAAAAAAATGGAGAATTGGCTCAATTTTTGTTGGCGGTCGCTCTTAAAAAGTCTGTGGTTTCCACCCCTCAGCTACTATAATTTGTAGCTCATTCATTTCTAACCTGCGATCCGGTTTACCTTTCAAAAAATAAAAGTCAAACAGACCCCCGGTTGTCGCATCCGGGAAACGGAAGACTGAGTAGAATTTTATATTTTATGACAACTTTATTCAGTGCTCTACAGAGAAATTCTCATTTTTTGCGCAGCATTTTGGCAAAAATATTCGTGTATTTGTAGCCAAGGTAAGTGAATTACAAATTTGAAACAACAACGATATAAATATTATTTGAAATATCAACTATGACATAAAAAATATAACAATATAATAATGACGTACCGTAAGATATGTTTCGGGCGACCTTCAATAACAGCAACAGCAACTGCAGTAACCACTACTTTCGAAATCCATAGAAACCGCTCCGAACGAGCCTTGTCCAACCACATCCTGTTCCCCTAGATTACTCCATTTAAATTCTGCAAGGCCTTCAAAGCGAACGGTTCGCTTCTTCTTTACCGTCAATGCCAAAGGCACTTTGAAATCTCCAGGAAACAACATGGCGTAGAAAGAGGTAAAATGAAGCACGTAGTCATGTTGTCGTGGTTTTAGTCCCACTTAATCAACAGTGTCCTTTTGTTCCAAATATTTAAAGATTCCCACTTTTAAAGATTCCCCATTTTAAAGATTGGCGCTTTTAAAGGTTCCCCATTTTAAAGATTCCCGCTTTTAAAGATTCCCCGTTCCCCATTCACCATTCCTATTAACGATTCCCGGTTCCTTATTGCCAACGAGCCATCTGAGCGAAGACGCTCGGGTGGCAAGGCGGCAGCAGAATAGAGCCGCGCAAGACTCGGCTGTAGGCACAAAAATTCTCGATCGAGCTTCAAAAAGTGTAACCTCATGTAATGTAGATTCCCCTGAGACCAAGTGGTGTGACAGTTTCAGCCAATCAAAAGGCGGTAAAGTATACTTGGCGCACCTGTGTTCTTTCCTCGGCAGCACGCGAAGATTGAACTTGAATGTGGTACGCTTATATTGTTTATTCACCTAAATCTGGTCCCGGCAGTCAAGGAAAATGAAAACTTGATGCATTGTATTAATTTGGGGGCCATTAATGTAAGTTTTTAACGAAGAGAAGCTTGTAAAACAACAGTTTAGGCAAAGAAAAGTTTTCTATGTGAAACAAACAATTCTCACCACCAAAAAGGATCAGATTGCACGCGGAGATAAGGAAAGCTTGATACGAAGAATAAAGTCGCTTCTGTTGGAAGATCAGATGTTGGGGAAAAAATCTAACCAATAATTGGAAAAATAAGAATAAAAAAGAATTACAAGCCTAAACCGAACGACAAGAGATAAGAAAACAACGCTATTTTTTTCGAAACCTGGCCGAGTTTATAATAAAGTGAAAACAAAATACCGACGTGCCGTACATCGCATGTCTTTGAAAACATTTCAAGCAGCGCAGCGAATCATTCTAAAATTCAATCGGGAACTCGACAAAAAGCCTCGGGAAATTTCAGAGGAGGTTTAAATGATTAAACTGCACAAATATTTTTCTACTTAGTGAAACCGAACTGACACTAATTTTGTAGTGGTAAGAGAAACGATCATTTTTTATATTTCCCTCTAAATATTACCGATCGCTTTCTCTGCAAGCCTTTATTCTTTCAAAAAAGTATGTCTCATGACACTTCAAACTTTTATATAGCAGCTTCGTGAAGCCACAGGAGTCTGAGGACTGACTTTTCTCCCAACCTTTACACTTGCATAGCACCTCTGTTTCAAGAAAATAATCCGTTCAAAACTGTCAAATGTTGGAAAAAAGGAATCCATTCCTATGCAAAATACGCATGATTTGCTCGTTGGCACTCTATCGATAGGTATACCTAGTTTTAAACATAGCCTAGTTTATGCGGCTAGTGTATGCGCGAGACAATGATCTGACTTACAATAGTATCAGGTTTGACATAAGCTTACAGAACTTTAAAAAGCCTTTAGACATGTTCTGACCGCAATTAAATACAGAAAAAAAAACTTTTCGAAGAATATTCAGTTACGATTTTAGCTGTTAAAAGAAAGCTCTTGGCGAAACAAGGGGAGCCGGCTTAAAACATAAATCGGCCAGGTTTTTTTTATAAAGTTTATAAGCTTATGCTTACCTGACTCGTGTTTTAAGAGACACTTCAATATTAATACTTGTCGTCGTAAATGAACGTTGTTTTCTCTATACACGTTTCGCCGAATTATATTTATTTTACTGACTGTTACTTATTAGTCTCTCGCAATTTTAATCTCTTCGCCACTTGTTTTCAGTCGTAAATAAACGTCACACGCAGGAGTCCTCAAAATGAAGCGCGTAAATATCAAACGCTTTTAAAGATTACACATAACAAAACCATAAATCAAGAGAAATAAAACCTAAACATATTAAATTCTCTATTATGTTGAAGCGTAACTCTATTAATGATCATTTACTTACAAGACAGCCGGGACTGGAAATTTGGTGCTTGTCAAACCGGCTGGCCGTATAAGTGATTTTGGGAATTTTTTGATCGTTTCCACTAAAAGCCCATACTTATTACCCTACATATGACACAGGAGCATATTTTTCTGACTGAACACTCACTGCATTATGCTTGAATTCTCTTCATGAAAACCTTTTATAATGTGATCAGTTCTATAATTTGTTTTGCAAAGGAAGGGCGTGCTTAGATCGTCCTGGACTGATTGAATGAGTGCAATTGGTCTTGCAAAATTGTGAAAAACTGCAGAATTATAGTTTTAAATAGGGTAAAAAAAACTTCTGTCCGATTTCTGTATGATTAAAAAAAAAACAGTGCTCATAGTACTGTTTACTTATGACGTGATGTATAAAAAGTATATTTAAAAGGCTGGTTTATACGCCACCAGATTTGTCACCAATTACTTGTATTAAAACTAAACTTGTCGAGCACAAAAAAATCCGACCTGATTTCTAATTTTGGCCTTCCTTTTAGACAGAGGAATGCAACATGTAAATTTTTGGCTGCCACTGAGGACTATCGTTTGTGGCATAAAATTATACTTTGGGGCTGTCCAATCATTATCCATGGTCTCTCCAACGGAGTAGTTTGAGAGACTATGAATTAACCGTTTAAAATAAAGGTGGTGTAGGTTGGCAACTGGGTTATTTCGTTTGGGAAGAATTTGTTTTCCAGGCCTAATCTACTGATGATTGCTATTTTTGGGCGTACTTGTAACACTATTAACTTAATGTAAAACTGATTTGTTTGACCCTTGGACTGTCAAATCATTTTCCTTTCCCTTAAAAGTCACATGAATGTGCCCAAAGTGAACTGATTTGTTGATTGCAAGTTTATTGTTTAATTTAAATTATAATTGTTTTAAAGGGAGCTTCGCTTTTGGCCCTGGCTAAATTTATAGATTATGTTTATATCAAGGAACAATAACTTTGCAGGTGCATCACGCTATTTTGTACATTTCTTTGCCGTCGTTGCACCATTACGACGTGAAACTTCCTAATTTCACGAGCCCGCTTTATGGGGTAGGTGAACACTACACAAAAATTGTCCTTTCATTTTCTAAACTTACTAACGATAGATACGGTCCCAAAGAAAATTCCGCCAAGATTTGCCAAATTAAATGAAATTGAATAAGATCGGTGTTGCAGCTGGGTTCCCTGTTTTCTTTTTCCCGCCCTTTTAGATCACGTGATGAGTTTTTTTGTTGTTGTACGGAGTTACTCGATGTATCATATTGCAGCGATTCACTCGAAGCAACGACGTTTTAACGCTTGACAACGTATATATATCCTTGTTTGTACGGATTGGTTTGTTTTGTCCAAATAAAGTGTGAACGCCAGTTTACGAGTGAATTTTCACCTTACAATCCGTGAAGTTTGAAATAGTGCGAATAGACTTTTAAGTGACTTTTTCGGTTTGTTGTCATCCAAAAATTTTGCTACCATGGCAACGTGACGCAACGTCTTCTCCTCTCTATAATGAATGAGGGTAATTTGTCCAGTAAGCGGATAGTTCTGCAAAAACAGCAGAATTATAAGTAATTTTTTCCTAGGCCTGAATGACAAACAAACAACGCCTGATAGTTCTGTTTACCTCGGAAATAATGTAAAAAGGTAGGTTTACACGCTACCAGCACCAGATTTGTAAAGTAAACTTGTAGAGTACAAAAAAATATTCGGCTGGATTCAGTTTTCATTTTGGCCTTTCCTTTAGACAGAGAGATAAAAAAAAAAAAACATAAGTTATACTGCGTGTAAATTGGCTGCCACGGAGGACTACCGTGTCTTAACGGCCTTTATAGTATAAAATTATATTTCGGGACTGTCCACTTAACCTTATAAAATATAGGTGGTGTAAGTAGGCAAATAGGTCATTTTGGTTGGGAAGAATTTGTTTTACACACCTAATCTACTGTGGTCCAAGCTGATTGCCATTTATTGGGTGCGAGATTTTAGATGTTGTTTTATTCTTGCACTGTTTGCAAATTATTTTTTTCCTTTAAAATCACCCAGCCCCACCCCTAAAAGACATATCGATCTCCCCTAAATTAACTGATTTGTGGATTAAAAGTTATTGTTCGAAATTAGTATAGGTAATAGCATGATTTGTAGTGATATTTGGCATACATACCACAAGTGATATTTCGAAATTGTTATACGTGATTTCACAAGCTGTTAGGCGAGTGAAATTTGAGACAATTTTGAAATATCATGAGTGGTATTTATGCCATATATCACGTACAAATCATGTTATTATTTACTTATACTACTACCCGCAAAAGGTTTGTAATTTTCACATGTAGGTATTTCAAATTACGCTGAAATACCACTGCTCTAAGCCAATCAAATTGCAGTAATTTCTCACGTAGTAGTATAATAAATTAAATAGCTGGAGCGACACTTTTAGCCCTGGCTAAAACTATATATTTTCCAAATATGCCAACTGTTTACTTGCGGCTCCAAGGCTTGGAGCAATAAACCAGAAGAAGTCATCTTGAGGTCCAGGGAAAGGGTAAATATTATATTTTTTGCCCTATTTCCCCAAGACTCGTAAACAGGTATACATGTTCTTAATATATCGAAATTGGTGTGTTACTTTGGTGTCTTTCACACATCGACGAGTGTGCAACTTACAGCCATTCATGTCACGCCAATGACTTTTGTAACAACTAATGGGTCTCATAGCTGTACCTGTCACCCTGGATACAATGGAAATGGATATCATTGCTATAGAAATATAGCTGGTAACATAGAGTTCTTTGATCAATAAACTGTAATTAGGAATGTACATTTACATCTGGTTAACATCATTTAGAGACATCTCTACCATACGTATATTCACCAGAAAACGAACACGGCCTAGGGATGGCCCTTAAGTTGTTTGGACATTTTCGTTAACTCTCTTTGAGGCCACTACCTTTTAAGCAGGAAGCGTAATGCTAGGGTATTCAGAAGTTTTTACTACAATAATAGTGGCTTATTCACGGTATATCCATAACCTAAAAATATGGCTCTTCACCTGACTGACTAATTGACTTCATCTGGGAACATTTTAGACTCGTCGTGACGACTACGTCAACATTGACGTTACCATGATGGCCGAGTTTTGACAGCCACGTTTTCTCAAAATTTGCTATTTTCATATACAAAAGGATTCATTCTTATTTTTACTAATTTTATTTGAGCATTACCCTTAATTTAGACATATTTTATCATATTTATTATAACCGTTAGTGTAATCCAGTCTCTTTAATGATTGATTTGAGAAAAAATATGAATTTAGAATCACCAAATGGCAGATGATGGGTTCAATTTTTAACAGAGATAATTTCTCTCGGAATTTCATAACTTGTATTTTTTTTTTAATTTTTAAGCATCGTTTTAGGCACAGATCAACTTTTCTATAACGATTACCTCGATTTATGCGGATTTCAAGTAAATTAGAATACACTTAATTAGTTTATGGTGGATCGCGTATGGTTCCAGATCCTTCTTTAACAATGAATGACATCGTCATGAAATACTGCTATTGTTTAAGATAATTAATGTGTTTGTTAACTTCTTGATTTTGTCAGACACCTTACTATTTGAGTATTTTTTCGCTTAGAGGGAAAAATTATGGAACTGGATTTTGCCAATAAATTTAACAATATAGCTTCATAATGACATCAAATAACGTAAATGTGCCAGTCAAGTTATGCCAAGATGTTGGAAATAAAGAGTACATTATTCTATGTTATTGTGGTGGCCGTATCATTGGCAGCTTTGATATTTATAATAATCATCATCATCATAAAGGTCATAAAACATCCTCAATAATAATAACATTAATCTATTAAGTATGGTTACTATTGTTATTATTATTATTATTATTATTATTATTATTTTTGTTTTTGTTGTCGATGATGATGCTTATTACTGGGTTTACTTGTCCTACAACCATCCATTTCAAGTTTATAACAAAGTGCGATAGAACAAACCCGTATATTGCCATGGAAATACATTGTAGGTTGTTAGGGATTCCCAACGAATAACAGAACAAACTTAAAAAAATGTTAGAGGACTAGGCTGTTTACAGCCGCTTCTTCCTCTATTTTTTTTCCCGGTGGGATGGGTTAGCTGTACAAAGAAGGCATGATTTCCTGTTATGAATAACAAGATAGGGATTCGATACATCTGATCTGTTACTTATGATTCAGGTATCGACAAGTTTTGTTTTCGTTCTTTTTTCGTTTGTTTGCTTGTTTGCTTCTAACATTTGGGCAGTTAGCTTGTTATCTGGGTGGGGCAAACACCCCATTTTCTCTGTGGTATGTTTTAGTTGGTGACTAGTAAACGTAGACCACAGTGATCCGTGGTCGCCTAAAGGTTTGACTATCAGGCGTTTCTTGAGGAAATGGAGAAAGAGAAGCAAAGAGGAAAAAGTGCCTCTTTGCTTAAAATCTATTCTCTACAATTCCCTATGCAATGCTTATTACTCAGGATACATATATGTGTCATTTGTAATCCCCTCCTAGAATGTTCCAACTACACATTCCTCAAAGAGCCTAACAGAGCAATGATATATAACAGAACTATTTCTTACCTATGCGACGCAAATATTAATGGCTGGTACAGATTCAGCGGAAAGGCTGGAACACAAATGGCGGACTCTTGTGCCGAAATGTGTCATTGTGGGACCGAGTAACCTGGATGGCTTAACGGTACTCATCCCGACTTAACTGATGGGGCCGTTAAACGCCAAGTGTGTTTTGGCGCTCTTAACAACTGTTGCTATTATTCAAATAAAGTGACTGTACAAAATTGTGGAGGGTTTTACGTTTACAAACTTGAACGACTATCCCACTGAAATCTGCGTTACTGTGGAAACGGATTGCCATTTGCACAAGTTATTAACAAAAAATAAAAACAACAACAATCGTCTTATGTCATTGTTTGGCAACGTATTTTCTTGTGGTTTTCCTTGAACTTTCAAATATTCATGCCTTGTTTTCTGATTAGAATTATCAAGAATTATTTTCCAAGCACTAAGCAGTTTTTAAGAAAATGATATACAATTGAACCTCTCGACAACGGCCACCTTGGGGACAGAAGAAAGTGGCCATTGTAGCGAGGTTGAAACCAGAGTCAATGTTTGGGTTGTCCGCCAAAAAAATAGCCGTTGTGGAGAGGCGACCGTTAGTGGAGATTTGATTGTAGTGGCATCCATGACTCACATAGTAGTAACTAATACTGAACTTTGCTTCAAGTAAACAAGAAAAATATTTGCACTACACCGCGTTTTCCTTTCTTTTATAGAATGCTACAATTACAAAGTTCTTAACGAGCCCAGCAGATCGAAAACATATGATGGACCTGGTAGTGACGAATGCGATGATATGCTGTCGGTTGACTGGTACAGATTTAGTGGAGGAGCTGGAAATAAAATGGCAGAGTCTTACGTCAATATGCATCGCTGTAAAACACACATCCCAGGCTGGCTTAACGGAAGTCACCCCACAGTAAACGAGGGGGCTGTTCAACGGAGAGTGTGTTTCACAGCTTACAGCGACAGTTGTTGGTCTCCAACTCTCATTAGGGTCCGAAACTGTGGAGGCTTCTACGTGTACCAACTAAAACCGGTAATTGGATGTTACGTACGTTACTGTGGCAACGGAAATGTATCATCAACACCATTGACAGCAGGTAAACTTACTCTTTCTTTCTTTTTTTTAAATTTTTTTTTCATCCTGCAGAGAACGCATCGCGCATTCATTGAAAAAGACGGATACACTGCTTACGCTCATATAGTGAAAATTAACGGCAGCTGTTTTAGCGTATGATAGCTTATGATTGAAACCCTTGCCTCACTAAAAATCAACCTTCTAATAAGAGAACTCATTGACAGCCACTAACGACACAAGTATGGTTAACAAAAATGGTTTTCAGTCCTAAACACTTTAAGTGAGCATGAAATCTTTAATTTACATCCCTTTACGAGGTGTGTAAATCAACCCCGGCCCAACTGACTCAAAAATCTGATTATCTGTCACCCTCAAACGGTTTTTCTCAGTTTTCCTTTTTTTGCCCCTTACAGTTTTGCCAATCTTGGCTCTACGCTCTTGGCTAAAGCGTTTAAGAGAACAGTGCTGAAAAAAACATTTCAATATAAAAGTAATATTTTGATTCCAGGGAAATCTAAAATTTAGTTTGTTCTGCGCGGCCAACAATTCTGAGGACAAGCGATCACTATCGGTTGGCTAAGTAATATTTCAAAAACGAGGGCAAGTGCTTCATCATGGGTTTGGAAACCGTGATTAACCACGAAGCTCGAAGTTTTGACATGTCTTCTCAAATGAAACAATAAGAAATTAGGCAGTGACTGGTAATGCACTGTTTCCGCGAGTTGCGTTAGTCATTAAAAAATCTCATTAAAATGCAAGTATTTGATCTCAGATGAAAAACATGTTTCACTTAAATGAGTAGTGAGGTATATGTCTGTTCTCTGTCAATCCCCAAATACGATTTTCCCTTATTTTCATGCTTTTTCCCGTCATTTCATTTTTTCTACTAAGAACAAATCCACACAAATCCAGATCCAGTACAAGTCTGTATATTTCCCTCATCCATTTTCCGTCATTTCAACAAATTTCATACCCTGGGTGCCAGAGACTTTTCTAGCGCGGTTTCCGGTTTCTGTCAAGTCTTTATATTGACCCGCGCAGCTTCGGCCGAAGATGCGTCGGCCTTCGGCCAACACCGAAAATTCCCGCCGCACACGAGAAAAACCTCTGGTACCCAGGGTACAAATTTCATTTTTAGGAGTTAAATTGTACGACTTTAATGTCTGTCGTTATCCTTTTCTGTCTTTTACTAATTTAAAAAGATTAATGAAGGGGAAAAAGCAAGAAAATAAGGGAAAATAGTACTCGGAGCTCTCTAGAGAACAGACATTTGTCTCACTACTATATGATATTTTTAGTTCAAGGGAAATATTTTATTTGGTAACACTTGTCACTTTGTTTTAACTTTTCCCTAATCTTAATGATTTTTGGAATTTTGATTGGCTTACGCTTAAGTAGGTGTTTTTAAAAGAAAAAAAAATCATCATCCTATGTAAAATATTCTTTTGTTCAAAAAAATGAATTTATTAGTCAAAACGAACAAAAATCTTCTTAAAGGAGAAGGCTTTAAGAAACATCAAAAGAAAGCTTTAAAACTCACAACAAAATCTCTGGATTATTCAAATAGAAAAGACAAGAAATATTTTGGAGAGTTAGAAAGTGGTAAAAAGATTCATTTTGGTAATCCAAAATATCATGACTATTTGATCCATCAAGATAAAGAGAGACAAGATATCCAAACGATAAGAAAGGTCCACTCGTTATTGAGTCACCATTTTTGCTTTCTTTTGGTGTTTCTGAAAAAAAGAATCAAGAAACAAACAATCTCGTAGGTTATTCTACGCCTTTTTGTCTCTGGGAAAAAGATGGTCAACCTAATGCAGAATAAGCAATGTTTTTAATGGATTAAATCATGATACTGTTGAAATTTTTCAAAATTATTTGGAACGGGAATATGGTCCTGATCTTGCTTCTCAACTGAAATCACCTCTATATTACAAACAAATAGAATATACTGATAAAAAAGGGAAAAAATCATTAGATCCATTTGATTACTTAAATCAATAATGAAAGGTTAAAATGGCTCTAATTACTGAGAGTATATTTATGAGTAAAACAATTGTATCACTCCAGATCAAAGCAAACGAGGTATATGTTTAACCATTAAAGCCCCAGGAAATCGGTTTTATCTATTAAAGATAGTGATGACGAGAGTGATGATAATGAGGAAGATATTAAAGGCTTAGAAACTAATAAAAAATATATCAGATATTGAAGATGATTAAAATAAGCTAATCTAATTTTTAATATTTTAATAGTATTAAAAGTTTACCAAATCAGTCAAAAGAATCCATGAATTAAATTTATCAGGATAATTCCACTACATTTTACTAATGCTTTCTTTTTCTTGTAATCTCGTTTAATCACCATCTCAATTCTGTTAGTCTCTTGTTTTGCTTTTTGTAACTCCTGATCATAAAAAGAACCTTTAATCGGTTCTCCCTGATCAAATCAGCAATTCTATACTACGTAACAGGTTTTGTATTTAAAACCTCGTTAACCTCAAAAATCTCTTCTGTCCAATTTGGAGTATATCCTTTATCAAATACTTGTCTTTCATACTTTGAAATAAAAACTTTATCTCCAATTTTAAACTTTGCTTTTCCAGGTTTCAAATAGATCAAATCTCCGTGAAAATTAAAATAAATTTGACCCTCATTTTTTTACATGCTTTAACTGGAGTAATTTTTTTACTAGAATGTCTTGTACTATCATAGTCATCGACCAATTTGTCACGTTTGCCATAGTAAACAGTGCTGTTATTCACAGTAAACATCTTAAACATCCGATTTTTCATTGTCTTATTCCACCTCTCAACAACACTCTCAGCATTTTCTGTTTGATGTAATTGAATACCTTTGTTTTTAAGAAACTCTTTGATATGATTACTAAATGAACTCAGAACCTTTATCTGTCCACAACATTTTAGGTTTTCGCTTACATATTTTAAATATTTCATAAAAAGCTTTGCTAACACTTTCAGTCTTTTATCTTTTAATGGTTTAATCCAACCAAACTGAACATATCAATTACCATCAGTAAATATTTTACCCTTTTATTCCATTACTAAACTTTTGCATTTCAACTAAATCAGCAGCCCAGGTTTCACCAATCCTTTTTGATGTAACGGATCCTTTTTTAAACTTTCTCGTGATTGGTTATGTAATTCATCGGCTAATTGTTGAACCCAATCATTACTCAACGCCGTTTTACATTTTCTGGATTTCCCAGTCCCGGGCTAATTAGCTCCCCTTTTTTTAACAAATCGAGTACCAAATCTATACCACAAGAAGCACAGTAATGTAATAAAATGGGAATTTTCAACAATATTGATAAATATATCGAAAACATAACTAAAAAAATTCAGGGATCAAACGCAAAAATAGATGCAAACAATAACTATGACATGGAGCAAAGAAAACTCACAAATGTTGCTGAAGGTACTGAAAGCAGTCATGCAATCACATCACAGAACATCAACGTGATGTACCAATAAATGATAAACATGATAATTATCAAGCATATTCAATTAAAAAATAATTACAATGTTATTAATAGTAAGACAAGAACATTTCAAGAATTATCAACTGATCGTGATACATTAATTTATTTTGAAGAAGGTCGTGAAAACTTTCTTTGTATAAATTTATAATGCTCGGACGTACACGAAAATTCATAACCCCACCGTGGTACGGGGGGGATGGACCCCCCCCCCCCTAGAGTTTTTGATATATTGCAGTAGGTATTTCAAAACGATTTTACTTTTAGTGGAAAGCCTTTGATCTTCTCTGCAAGATGAGATATATTGTATAGGTGGTAAAATCAAACAAAGTGCTTATTTATGTTGGGGTCGACACAGAAATTTCGACGCGTTGATTGGACTATTAATCTGTCTTTAATCGCCAAGTTTCTCGTGCTTGGTTCGATCGGTGATCACTGGTCATGAACGGTGAAAACTGAACATAAAATAAGCAAAAATGACAAATAAACCTAAAGAAAACCTAAATAAACCTAAAGCGACACTAAAGAGCGAAAACTACTTACATTCTGTGCGATGCAATCGATGAGAAATTCAAAACATTTGCTCTATAACACTACACTTGAAAACACGTGGTGATCTGTTCTTGCTGTGGTCATGTGACCATCCGAAACTAACATGATGTAAGTAGTCACGTAGTGTCCAAAAGGGAAGTGAACGCAAAAAATAAATCAAAATAAAATTTGGACTAAACATTCCGCCGGCCTTGGGACAACCCAGTAGGTAGGCCCAACGTCACTAGCCTAGACTAATTATTCTCAAGATCGTTCTCCAGTAGGCATAGCTTCTGAATAGGTCGGATGAACACAGAGTCCTTTGTCTTGACTTTCGCTGTGCGCACCAGGCCGTCGGGGCCAGGGAAGACCTCTAGGACTCGTCCAAGTTTCCAGCATCCTCTCGGCACGTTGTCATCAACTAACAGGACAAGGGCCTTCGGCTTCAGGTTAGGTAAGACCTTTCTCCACTTTCCTCGGGCTTGCAGGGTAGGTAAATACTCACGCAACCACCTCTTCCAAAATAGGTCTGCCAGAAATTGTACCTGCCTCCATTTCCTTCTGTGATACTGATCTGCTTTCTCAAATATGCCAGGGGTAGGCAGATAGTCTTCCTCTGCATTAAGAAATGCGCTGGCGTGAGTGGCTGAAGGTCATTTGGGTCGTCTGAATTGGCGGTGAGCGCTCGCCCATTTAACACTCGTTCAACTTCAGTCAACAGCGTCTGAAGAACTGCTTCCGTAACTACTTGGGTCCCTAGGATAGACTTCAGAACAGTCTTAGCGCTTCGCACCATCCGCTCCCAAATCCCAGACATGCTAGAAGCAGTTGGCGGCTGGAAGACCCATTTGCACCCTCGTTGTAGAAGCTCTTGCACAATTTGTTGCTGGTTCCACTGCTCGATCGACTCTCTCAGCTCTCGTTCACCGCCGACAAAATTTGATCCTCTGTCACACCTTAGTTCAGTCACTTCACCACGACGGTTCATAAATCGTCGCAGACACATTATGAAGTCGTTTGTGTCCATCGAGTGAACCAATTCAAGATGTACACTACGTGTCGTTAGGCAGGTAAATAAGCAGCACCACCGTTTGGCTGTTCCTCTTCCATGCTTGACGTATAAAGGACCGAATAGATCCATTCCTGTGTAGGAGAATGGGGGTTCGTACGCCATCATCCGGCTTCTTGGCAGGGGAGCCATTTGCTGAGTCATCGGCTTGGCATTCAACTTCTTACAAACAAGACACCGACCCAGGACAGAACGAGTTAACACCCTTATTTGTGGGATCCAGAACGTCTCTCGAACCCTTGCTATGAGGTGTTCACGCCCCAGGTGACCAATTGATGCATGGGTGTGGCGGACCATCAGGACTGTCGCTGGATGATCTCTGGGCAGTATTATTTGATTCCTGGCAGTGTCAGCAGCTGGTGGTGATGCTATACGTCCCTTGACTCTCAAAACACCATGGTCGTCTTGCATTGGGTTCAAACTAGCGATCTTACTGGAT